TTACATCCTCAATTTACATTGTTTAAAATAATTTCCGGATGACATGTCCCTTCGTTCCATATATGCCCCTCCGGTCCAAAATGTCTGGACACGCCTATGAATAGTAATTATGATTTTTTTTTAATTCAACGTTACCCGTTTTGTCATTAATACTACAATAATCCAACCAAATATAATGCATCATTGGTTAGTCATGTAGTTATTAAAAATTCTTTTAAAATTCAATGAATCGCGTGACTTACAAGTTTATTTTGCACTGCTTCAGTGGCGCTCAATGTATCTTTAGCCACAAATGGACATTTAATTTCCAAAATACCGTCTTCACCAACAAGACCATCTAAAGTAAAAATAAAAATTGTAATTAATATATTTGGTAGAAATTCAGGTTATAATCAATAATAAATTATAATTTATAATGTATTACCAGGACTTGCTGCTAAATAAGGAAATTCGTTGTCTGTAAATAGTCCACATAACTGCACTGTTTTACTAGTTAATTCTTCAAATGAATTTCTTGCTAAAGACTCCATCTCGACTCCGTGCATCATTTCTTTTGATAAAAAGTTTGGTCTGTATAATAACGAGTATACTTTTTTCCGACAACTCGTATTAGCTCTCATTTTGCAAATGTCGCCAAAATTAGATGCCGTCAGTCTTTTTTTTCTCTCATTATGCCATTCTTGGTTATGGCTCTGTTCTACAGTACGTAGTTGTAACTCATTTCTATCAACTTTGCTTAATTTTTTCAAAAATTCACTTTTTTTTCATTTAAATCATCCAAATCGTCTTCAATTGGCTCTGCCATTCCATAATCCTCGTCGGGTCCATTAAATTTTCCACTTGGTTTACTTCGTCTTATGCCATTTTCAAAAAGTTTTCTTCGTCGCATTATTGTATTATTTCGTATTCTATTTAAATTATTAGAATACCGTTTAGCTTGCATACCTAAAATTAAAAAGATAACAATTTGTAATACGAGATTTGTGAATATTATGCATTAAAATAATATTCACATTTCATGTGCAGTAATTTAAATACATTAAAGTAAGTACCTATATATTATATTTACCTGGGCTAAAGGATATAATTTGTTTTTGTATTGTCCGTAAATAATTGTTGGAGTTGAAAGCTACTACTGCAGCCTCAACTCTAGTATTATAATTATTTTTTTGAGTGAAGTTTATTCTTTTCCCCCCTACATGTTTGTTTATCAAACTATTAAATTGCTCGCAAGGGTTGTTATCTGCATTTTCAATAAGACTGTCAGCGTTTACAATCAACCGATATATTATATTTTTAATTTCTACCACCATCCCACTTTTTTCAGCTTCGAGAACCAAATTTCGTTCTCCTGTTTTAGGTCCAGTACAAAAATAGGTAGCGCAGTTATTATGCTGTCCCAATCTATGATACGGACAATTTGCTATATATTTTTTTCAAATCTAAAAATAAAAATATGTTAACAATAAATTATACAATTTAGTTGTAATTCAATAAAATAAAATTACCTTTCACTTTTTGATCAACGGATGAATTATTTTTTAAATGATATTTAATCGCTTTTGTAATGTCGGATCGAAAACGTAAAATATTGGTAGTTATAAATTTTCTTATAGATATGGGATAGTCTGTTCGTTTAGCAAGTGCTGTTAATTTTGTGCAAAAGTTTCTCAACAGATGGTTTCTGCATTCGATTTTTTTAATAATGAAATCGTTACCATATGGTTGAACATCATTTAATCGTCTTGACACACTACTGTCACCATCGCCTTTTGTATATATATTTATTAATATGCAGCGCCGGATAAGGAATGAAAATATATACATAATAATATATAAGTACAGATATTATTTTAACAATGATTTAGTCTTATTACCGATTAATTTATTGTATTTTAAACCATGCATGTATAAACTACTAGAAAATCCTTCCACGACAGCATCGGCCTCCATGGCTGTCGAAGTTTTCTTCCAGTTTAAAATCTCCGTTACGAACTTCTTTCATTTTTTTTTTTTAAAGAAGTCTTACCTGATCGGGTTCCTTTCTTTACGACGGCGCGAATTTTTTTTGGTGACATATTGGCAAAACAAATTTGTCACAAAAAAAATAGATATAGTTATGTTCAAGTGTATACAAATTAAATAGGTACAATGTATAAAATAAAAAGGCCACTCTGATCTTGATTAATTACAATTAGGTATAAATTAGACGAGTATCGTAATATGTAGTCATAGACAAGTCACAAGTATACAAGTATGTAGTAATCCCACAGCGTATTTTGTCATAAGTTGAGTGGTGACCAAGATGAGACTGTCAATGGCACGACCAAGTGTAGCTTATAAAATATAAATAATTAATTTGTAATACCCATTGATTATATATACTATATTATTATAGTATGCTAGTAGGGCTATAGTCTATTTTCATTATTCAAGATAATAATATTATGTCTATCAAATTCTGATTATCGGAATTTTTATTTCTGTCACAATAATTCGTCGAGACGCCAGACGGTGCGGGCTGATAACGAAAAACGCGAGTGCTTGAATAGAGTAGGGGAAGCCACCAGGGAATATTTCGATAATAATTATAATAATTATTTTACAATAATTTCACATAGTGATGGGAATAATCGAGTGATTTCGATAATCGAGATATTATAGTAATCGATTAATTCACTCGATTTAAATAATCGAGCGAATAGTAATCGAGATTATTTTTTCTCGATTGCTCCCATCACTAGACGTAATTGTATTGATTTTAAGACAAATCTAGTGCTCACAAATAAATACTCATTTAATTAAACTAAAGATATATTTGGTTATTGGTTGAAAGAAAAAATCATTATTTTACATAAATTTAGTATTAATCTAGAATAAAACATTTATTAGAAATAATGTTTTATTATCATTAAAACATAGGGCCTTAGAGGTATTCAAACCTATCAAACTATTCTTTAACTTTCATAAATAAAATATAAATAATTACAGATTATATGCAATTTTAATTTATTTTTAATATGGTATTTTTGAGTTTTTAAAACCAGTGTATTGTCCATCTTCTTCGGCATACTTTGTACGAATTACATTTATTACACACGCTGGAATTACAACTCGATTTCCTAAATCAAGTACATAATGTAATAAATACTTTTATTATAATTGAAGATTATGAAAATTATTAAATTTACCTTTTCCTATAGGTGTCCATTCATTTGCCCAGAAAACAAATTGTTTGTAGCACAAATATCTTCTCGTTTTATTTTCCAGGATAGTATTGCACAATAACTTCTTTTTTCCCTTATTTTTTGTTTTGGAAATGATTTGTTTTCGAGTAATTTCAATAACTTCTTCGTCCAATATTAATTTCGAAAACGATGGGTTTTCTATCACACATTTATATATACCACGTAATTTATTTAAAATGTCTATTTCCGAACAGCAAATACACTCGCGATCCGTTGGTAATATTGTGCATTTTTGACAATCACACCAATTATTTATTTGAAGCAATGATCTACCAAAGCATTGGCTAAATTCATTATGATTAGAATTGAAAGAATCATAGTCATCGCAGAAATCTAATTTCGTTGGTTCAAATTTATATGGTGAGGTCATATTGATAAGTTAACCACAATCGTAATTTATTTTCAAGTACACTCAAAGAAACACAGAACAATACTAAAATAATAAATACTAATCCAGTAATAGAAAAAAACGACAAAAATCCCGTTTTATCAGTTAGAACTAAAAATAAAAATAAATATTATATAGCACGTAATTATTTTTGTACACAAAAATATCAAACCCAAAATAATAATATGTAATAATATTATGCGAAATAATAATATGTACGACGCGCGACGTACGTACGTACTGCGGCCGCAGCAAGATTAGATTCTATGACGTCACGCGCTAACTTTAAATGACTATAACTCGCTAACGAAAAATCGTAGACAAGTTTAGTTTGGACTTCTGTTTTTCTTTAATTAAGAATTTTTTTTTAAGGATTAGTTGTTTTTTTTCCTTTCGTAGTCCTTTAATTATATTTTTTTTAAATTTAAGTAGGATGTATGCTTGAAACGAATCTATAGACTTCATTATTTCAAACATTTTTTTTTCGTTAATTTGATTTAGTCATCTTTAAATTATGGATATTAATGTATTGAATATGTATTTATTTTAAAGAAAATTTTATTAATTTAATACAGGGTGAGGCACTGAAACGGTCGATTTTCAAAGATATATTTTCTCAGTAGCAATTAAAGTAAAAATTCTCTCTGAATATTATTAGTTGCAAGACAACATGCCATTTAGTAAACATGGAACAGTGGAGTGCTGAACAAAGTGCTTATGCGATAAAATTGTTTTATAAAAATAATAACAGTTGCGTAGCTGCACAGCGTTCATTTGTTCGTATCCATTTTAATCTTGAACGCCATGATTCAGTACTATCGGCATGGCTATTCAAATATGGGTAACCAATTTTTAAGAGTCGGGTTCAACATTAAAAAGAAGCCTGTACGAAAAAAAACACGTCGCTGTGTAAAATCCGACCTAGACTTCTACTGAACAAGTTTTAAAAAAAACATATGTTTTGTGCAGAACATTTCGGACTCCTTATGAGAGCGGTCTTAACAGCAGTGATGTTTATGAATGCTTTTTTTTACGGGCATATATTTTTTAATGCTAAACCCGTGTCTTCAAAGTTGGTTATCCATATTTAAATAGCCTTGCCGATGGTGCCGAATCATGGCGTTTAAGATTGAATTGAAGACGAAATGAACGCTGCGCAACTACGTAACTGTCATTATTTTTGTACAATGATTTTATCGCATAAGCACGTTGTTCATCACTCCACTGTTCCATGTTTACTAAATGGCATGATGTCTTACAACTAATAATATTTAGAGAGAATTTTTATTTTAATAACTAATGAGAAAATTTATCTTTGGAAATCGGCCATTTTAGTGCCCCACCCTGTATAATTCAGTATTAATCCTAGGTAAATCGTTGAACTTCAAAATAATGATTCCATTTCATTAAAACATTGAAAGATATTTTTCTGAGTGTATCTAAAATAATTCGGGACCTAATTCGGATGCTGCCGAAAAATCACATCCTCGCTCATCTCACGTTCAATTTCAATACAACGAAGCTAATCTTGATTTTTAACGACCATATACACATTGTAGGCTGCCTGACGTTTAGCCTCTTTTTTCGACCATCCTTCGCCTGTATAAGCACATATTTTTACATAACGATTTGTGATTACACGTAACGCCAAAGTGAAAACACAAAGAAAGCTGACCGTACCTTTGACCGTGTACCCTCTTAAAGAGCATTCTATTTGAAAATGGTTATCAGCTATTTTAACGCATGAATGATACTCCGGTATTTTCCACCATCGAGCCATACACAATTCTTGTAGCGCAGATACGGCATCCGTGTTCACTTTCAACGCGATGTTCTTCTCTACTTTGATTTTACTGGTGAGAGGGCACACGTTGATATTATTATCGGTTATTTGTTTAGTATTATCATAAAAACATTAATACCGCATCCGTTGTTTGGCCGTCATTGTAATTTCTTTTGTGAGTTCTGTCCTCGAACTCATACGGTCTACGTTCAATACGGTTGTTCCGTCGTCCGTGTCACCAGCCTCTGGTCCACCATTTGGAAAGGACAATAACTCATGAGCATTTCTGTTTGATGCCATCGCCGGTCCACTGTAGATTTTTTTGCACATCGGAACATCTCCGGGAGAAACTGCACTTTCGTTGACGATCAGTATAGGGTCATATCCAAGTTTAGTTTGGCTCGACACGTGACACTGGTCTAAATCCAGCACATCGGTCTGAGCTGACACATGACACGGGTTCAATTTTTCGGTCTGAGCCGATGCGTGACATTGGTCAAACACATCGGTCTCAGTCGACACATCACACGAGTCCAATATTTCGGTTTGAACCGATGCGTGACACTGGTCGAACACAACGGTCTCAGTCGACACGTGAGATTTGTCTAATATCTCGGTCTGAGTTGTTGTGTGACACTGGTCCAACACATCGGTTTCAGTTGAGACGTGTAATTGGTCGAATACGTCCGTCTGCATTGAATTATCTACCAAATGCATTATGGTTGTCTCCGTCGAGACTTCGCGTAAGTCCACCGTCATCCGTGCAGATGGTCCCGCGTTCTCGGAGACTTCAACTTCAGTGGCGATAGTGGCCGACCATTCGTTTGCAGCCTTGATCGCGCAGCACTGACCGAATTCCCAACAACGTTTGTGTATGGACACCTTACACACTATAAAACACCGGGAGAAAAATATTCATGAGACAACAACAAACGCCGATGATTTATTTTAACAATATCTTAAAATGCAACGGTAATAATGTCATTCGAGTGTACAGGGCCGTCGTAGAGTTTGGTGAGACCTATATAGTGGCAACTAGGGGTAATTATGGGGTTAATAACAAAAGCAATGGATGTTGTGGTCACCAAAAATTTGGGGTCTGGGGCAAAATAGTCCCAATGCGCCTCGACGGCCCTGTGAGCGCATAAGGTATTGAAAAATTATTTACCAGTGCACTTGTACACATGCGATGAGTAAATCCGTCTAGTGTTGCATCCCACACATTTAAGGAACCAAGCACTCTTTGTTCCACGGTTCGTGATGTCCTTGCAATGATTGCTCATAATGTGTGCCCGGTAACTGTGCAATAAATTAAACGAGTTAAATAATTCGTATTCGGTTAAATTCCGATCCATTCGACTTACGCCATTATTTCTCGTAGGTTCTTCGGTGAATTCTAATATTCGAAACGATATATTTTGCGATCGTGAAAATCAACTATTATAAATGTTCGATATCAACAAATAACTGGTATAGAATTTTGTTTTAGCAATCAACGCGATATATGGTGAATTCCCTACCAGGCGATCAAACAAAAATGTACATGCTGCCAGCATAATATTTTAAAAGCTAATAAATTGGTCGAAAACTATGAATATCCGTTTGATGTATTGTAAATATTAATAATAAAACTCTTTCCCGTTGATAGTATTGTTAATCGCGAATTTAAAAATGTCCACTTTTGAATTACACGCATGTATTTGCCACTGTATGATTATAATTTATCGTGTTTTTTAAGTAATGGACAACAAATGAAGGTAATCTTAGGTAGGGTGCCACTCAACTATATAGGCTAAAAAAAAAAAAATTGTTTTTCTAATATCTTACTTCATAATATTGATTTATATGTTATTAAATAGCTGTGGTAAAAATATAATTTAGATAATCACATATTTCGAGGTCGCTCACGCGTTTCAAAGTTTTATACCTATAAAATTTTCTGTAAGGTACCTAATTTTCAAGATAAAACTGATTATCTACATTTTTATTATTAAACTTGATTATTATTTACCCATGCATTTGATATTAACTATTAAATTGTTAATACTCGTATCATTCTACTAGTATTCGTATACCAGTGAGTTAAATTTTGTTTGTTATTATATTAAAGTGAAGTTAAATTCATTATTTTTTTTTCTGAAGACAATCAATTATTCACTTATTCACACATGCAGATTGCAGACCTTTCAATAGTATTGACTTAAATTATTGGTATGTACATTTTACAATGTAATTGATTTAAATAAATATTTTAATATAACACATTAGTTCAGTACATAATATAATGTCTTATACAAATTCAAAAAATCGTGGTATTTATTTGATTGGCACCACAAGTGAAACTTTAACTGGATCTAAACTGCCATCAAATAGACAAATACTTGGCCGCTTTTTACATTTGCATTTAAAAGACAACTTTTCGATACAAAAGAGTGCTCATATAACTACAAATGAATTGTTAGATTTTTGGAATAAAGCGAGAATCCCTACTAAACAAAATTATAATATAATAAATCAGATCAAAAAATTACATTCGAAATGGATTGGTATTAAAAAAAATGCAACCAGACAAACAGAGACACAGGTTATGAAAGTGAACCATTTTTTAAATAATTTAGACAATTTGTTTGATGTTGCCCATGCCAATGCTATGAATTTAATTAAGCTACAAG